TATCAAAGATATAGTGGAATAGAATAATTAAAGAAAGGATCGAAAGGAGGGACAGAATGAAATGAGAATGGCAAAAATTAAAATAATGTTTATTTCTTTCAAATAACTAAATAAAATTGTTAAATTGTCCTGCAGCAAGTTGTCCTGCAGTGAGTTGGCTGTGGCGAGTTGTCCCATCCCCCCTCTAAGCAACTGGATTTCTTTTCCTTTCCATTTTATGTAGTGCAGGATTTTTGTTGCTCCCAAATCAGCCATTCATACTTCAGAAAATTCTTTGCAATCTTTGAACAGGCAATGTTAAAGAAATACTCTTATCCTAAAATAGACCAGCTCATATGCTTCAGATGTGATTTAACAAGTCTATCCTCTACAAGGTGGGCTTGTTATGAGATTTAAATGGTCCATTGAATTGTTGCACCACTTTCAGAGCATGGCTTCTCCATAGCCACCCTGACCTCTTGTAAGAACCTCCTACTTTAAGTCCAGGGAAAGAGAGAGGAATACCATTTTAGCCTCCCCACAAAACCCATAGAGGTCTAGTTTTTCTTCTAGACAGTGGACTCAGTTGAATCAGCATTAGGAATATGTGTTGCTATGGTGTCTAATTAGGAAGCATATGATATATTTTATACTGATTTTAGTGATTTTTTCTGTAAGTTGTTTGAGATTTTGCAAGCTCTATAAAAAAATAATAATAATTACGCCTTGTTTTGTACATTTTTAAGCTGGCAGAAGCAAATCTCATAGATCATATTTATTGTTCAATGCTCAGATTCATTTGAATGGGCAATAAACCTTATAAAATAAAGTAAGGAGGTAAATATTGATCCATGCATTTTGAAATGAACAATGCAAGTCTTGGAAATCTGAAACTAATCAAAAATTCCTTTTATTGGAAAGAAACTGGCATGGTGTTCTATTGTTTTCATGTGCTTTGACCTCCAGCTAAAATTATTTTTAGACAAGCATTCTGTCAAGACAAAAATAGGTTTATACGTTTCAAAAGTAAGTACAAGATTCAACCATCCTAACTTTCATGCCCTTTTTTGAATTATTCCCTTTCTTCGCCAACTGGAATCAATACAAGAGAGTTATTTGCTTCACCCTGATAGCATAAATAGCATCAATAACATACCTACTCACTGTGTTTTTGCTTATCATTCATTCTTCTTAGAAGCCGGTGTTTCTATTTGTGTTTTAGCCTACTAGAAAAGATATCTACTGGTCTTTTGCTATCACTGCAACAAAAAAAAAAAAAAAAAAAACACCCACATAATATCTACAAAAAAGTTTAACTGGGAAATTATATTATGCATGCCACATTATTAAATACCAAACAAGAAAAAATCATAATTTATTTTAAAAAGGTAATGCTGGAAAGGTTCCTTCATGTGTCAATGAAGATTCTCTATGGAGATTGTCAGTCACCCAGGTCATGGCTGTCCCAATGGTGCTTTTTCAAAAGACAACTGGACTTTGTTTTTTCCTTGAAGAGGTTTTGCTTCTCCAAGAAGCTTCTTTTGTAGTCTATTGAACTAACAGATAACAGATAATCAGAGTTGGAAGGGACCTTGTAGGTCATCTAGTCCAACACCCCCATCCAAGCGGGAGACCCTACACCATTTCTGACAAATGGCAGTCCAATCTCTTCTTGAAAGTCTCAAGTGATGGCACTCCCACAACTTCCAAGGGCAAGCTGTTCCATTGGTTGATTGTTCTCACTGTCAGTAAAGAAGCTTCTTGGAGGAGAAGTGAAATGTCTGCCATTTGAACAATGTTGCCATTTGAAAAAGCACCTTTGGGATGAAGATTCTCAGTCATCCAGACAGTCATCTGGAAGTTGAGTCCTGGTAACTGAACTTATTTTCATGTTGGTTTGAGACATTTCACAACCCAATCAAGCAGCTTCTTCAGTTTGAACAAGCTGGTTAGGGGAATCTGAGTAGAGTAGAATACAAGTAGAATCTGAGGTTGATGCGGTAATACTCCTAAGAATTTTAGGAGTTGACACTTCCCAACTCCTCTCAGCCAAATCAGACCTAACTAACTTGTTCAGACTGAAGAAGCTGATTGGACGGGCAGTGAAACATCTCAACTCAAAAAGAAAATAGGTCCAGTTGCCATGACTCAACTTCCAGACATTCCTTCAGAACATATAGCACTGAATAGATAATCTGTAAGCAAATGTGGACTGATGACGGGGTCAGCTTAGTCATAATTATTACTATAAATCTATAAGTTTGGTATTAAATAAGTTGCTATTCCATGAAGTCTGTGTTGCAAAAGGGTTTACTGGCTAGAATTTACTTTTCCTTTCACTGGCTGACATGACAGATAGACATGTTGGGTTAGTAGAACCTAAAATCTTTTTGTGTTTTTTGATGTGGTTGCATTGAAAGATTAATTTTGAAAGCATCATTTAGCAATAGAGTACTAAGTATCTAATTTTTCCATCTACCTGTACATTAATCTGCTTAAAGCTTCTCTTTTCCAAACCATATTATATACATGGTAACATACAATATAGTGTAGAGAGTGGGAAGAATACTATGCCTATTTAAGAATTATTATTTGTCTCCTTGGTTGCAAATTTCAGTTTTCAAATCTTTTCTTTTCTTTCATGATAATATTACTGTGAGATTATTATGACCAACCTTTCCCATATTCTTTAAATTCTAGACTAAATGTTACCAATTAATTGTTTATTATCCTGTTTTATAAGATTATTATTTTGTTTGTTTTTCTTCTGCTGAAAACATACATATATTCTTATATCTGTCTATCAGATGTGATAGTTACAAGAGGAAGAATGTGATCCAGGACTAACAATAGACAATATTTATTGCCTAGGGCAGAATATATTGCCCTCTGAAACCAAAGGAGTAATGACGATAGTGTTTTGTGACTTCCGATATCAAGATAAAAGTTTATTTTGAAAATGTAACGACTCAAATAATGCTGTCTCATTTTTCCCTTATAACTAAGGAATGTGGGACTGCACTGTTAATAACAGAAGAGTACCAATTAAAGTCCATCATTTTGCTCTGTAATTGCTATCTTTTCTTTGTTTAAAAGCTACATTGGCTTCGGCAGAGTTGAATTATACTAAATCCTCTTCTCACTATAAGTTCATAAAGCATGCATAATTAGTATCTTCAGGCACAGACTTGGTAAATGTCAGCTTTGTGGGGCAACTTTGTCATATTAGGATTAAGCTTTCCTGAAATCATTGGGACTTAATTTATATTATTTACATAGACTCTGGTTTTAGTTAAAGATTATGCTTTCAAACTACACTTATAATCACAAATCCATTTTTTTTCAGTGATGCTTTAAAATATTTCATTTAAGAAATCTGTCATACTCTATGCCAGATATCTATCTTTTTTAACAATTTGATGAAACCACTGGGAGAATTAATCCACCATCACAAGATAAGGGTTACATCTTTAGCTTCAGAAAATGTAATGGATCTATTGATTTGGTATATGGAGGCTTTTAAAGTTTGAAGCAGGCTGAGATAGAAATCCTGAGATAGAATATGCACTTTTTTTTTCTGGAACCATCAAGTTTATTAGAAGCTTTGGCTCTGGATGGGATTGTACTCTCCCTCAATGAGCAAATCCCTGACCTGGCCTCATAGCTCTTATTCAAACAATGGAGGTTGTGGCCATGGTTACTTTATCCCAGGGGTTCCCAAACTTGGCAACTTTAAAACTTGTGGACTTCAACTCCCAGAATTCCTCAGCCAGCTCTGCTGGCAGAGAAATTCTGGGAATTGAAATCCACAAGTTGTTAAAGTTGTCAAGTTTGGAGACCTCTGCTTTATCCAATTTTAACAGTATACAAGATATAACTGTTCTTGGAGTACTTGGAGTAGTTCTTTGGCTACTAAAATTCTTTCTTCTTCCCTTTGAAGGTGATTTTGAAACTTAAATTGGTAGTGAACATGCTGGCCCATGTACTCGTGAGCAGAAGTCAGTTCAATAGAATAGCATCTCTTTATCAGTTATTACACTAGATATTTGCCGGATAAAATATTGCTTATCATCTAACCTACATGTCTGCATCTTGAAGATGTTTTGCATATCTTTATCGTTAGTGAAATGTATCTTCTGAATCTTGTACAGAAGATGTTATGCAATGATTATGCATATATCATGCACATGCATGAGATATGAGAATCCAGCAAGGGAACTACACACATCATTCATACGTAGCCGAATGCTGATTTTACATCACATGTGCAGTAGTTCTGAGAACATACACAATTGTTTTACTAATCAGCATGCCGTCTTAAGTGGATTATGAGCAGATTATTTTTTTATTTTGCTTGCTTCACCATTCATGTCTTGTATAAAACAAAATATGAGTGTTCAAAGGGTAGCTTACTTGAAAACATCATAAAACATAAATGGTATTAATTAAGAATGAAGGTGAATGTACGTGTCCCAGGATAATATAGGTCAGTCACCCCCTCTGGCTCCAGGGTCTGACCCAGATTGGATCCTAAGGCATTAATTAATTTCATTAAGATTTCTATCTTTTATTTTCCCCCAATATTCCCCAAATATGAATCTTCCCTGGATGTTATTTCCTTTTTTTTTTAATTTTTATCCAATCCAAATTTATTCCATTTTTAATTATTAATTCCCTTTCTACTATAAGGTAGGTAAAGCCATGTTTGCTTGAAAGTTAAATTCCTTGGTCTTTGACTCAAATCTTGTGAGCTTTGTTCAAAGCACCAAAGACAAAACAAAACAAAAAAGCTATAAGATTAGTTAATGCCATGTTAAACTCAACCGTTTATTTCTGTATAGTTTAAAAACTTTTTTCTTCACTGTTCCCATAAGGGATAAGCAGTGGTTAATGTTATGCTATGAAATAAATAGTATTTTAGAAGGATTATCTAATGCTTTCTCCATAATTTAGACTACAAAAATTATTAATTTGAACATGTATGACAATTTTTTTTGTCTCTGGTATTTTGGTATGTACAGTGATGAAGTTCCAGGCAGTCAGTTGGTTACAGATAAGTTTCACATCGACTGGGATTCTGTGCTTGTCAACTCTGATAATGTCATCATAGCTCAGTTTGATGGAAGAGGGAGTGGATTTCAAGGACTCAAGATTTTGCAAGAGGTTCACCATTCACTAGGATCAGTGGAAGTGAAGGACCAGATAGCAGCCGTAGAGTACGTATGTGCAAAATTTTAATCCATTTTTAAAAATTCTTTCTTTTGATATCACAGATAGAAAAGCATTGTGTTTTATATCTGTACCGTATTGGGTTAATGGAATTTCTGCACTATTTCAGAGGAATAAAGTTCAATAAACCATCAAATCTGCTTTTAGGTTTAGTCTAACTTAGGGTTGTCAAACTCAAGGCCCATGAGCTGGATCTGGCCTGCAGGGTGCTTAAATCTGGTCTGTGGGGCCAGCCTGGAAATAGCAAGGGACCAGCCCATGGCACTAGTGAAAACTGGGTGTGGGGGCCATGTGTGGCCTCCCATGCCCCATTTTGGCTGGTAGGATGCTGCAGAAAGCTGTCTAGGCCAAAAATTGGGTGGGGTGTGGGGCTGCGCATGGGTACCTCATGCCCTGGTTTGGCTGGCAAAGTGCTGCAGGAGGCCATCCGTCCCATCTCCCCCTCCCAGTCAGCCCGCCGAGGAAACTTACAATGCTGATCCAGCCCTTGATGAAATCCAGTTTGACACCCCTGGTCTAACCAGTCTGTAGTCACTAATTGACATTTTTGCTAGAAAAGTATTGCATGATATGGAATCCATTCCAGATATTGTATATAATTGAAATACAATAAACTACTTCTAAATCCCATAGATATACTGAATAGATGATCTATTATCAAACATATGATGTTGGTCCTGCTGCAACAAAACTAAATCTATTTTAGTGCCTTAAAATGATTTATTGTTAGTTGTGATTGCTGTCTTTTGACAAATGTTGTCATTTTTAAAAAAATATGTATATTAGATCTGGTCCTGTTTTCAACCTATAGATATATGGATGAATTGAATAATTGCATGTGATTTAAAAACAGGGGTTAAACCAGGGGTGGGATTCTACCAGTTCGCACCTATTCGCTGGAACCGGATGTCAATATTCTAAGCAGTTCAGAGAACCAGTTGTTAGAAAAAATTACTAATCCTAATCCTGTAAGGAAGGCAGGAAGGAAACATTCTGGTGTTGCTTACAGAAACTGCCTCTCCGTTAACCCTTATTACATTCTTAGAAGGACTAGACTTCCTGTCTCAGGAACTTCTCTGGAGTTTTTTTCCCCTCCTTTGTTGGTACTTTGCTTGTATGGAGTGACCATTCAAAGTTACAATGGCACTGAAAAAAGTGACTTATGACCATTTTTCATACTTACGACTGTTGCAGCATCCACACAGTCATGAGAGGCCAGGCGAGGAAATGCCTCGATAATATTGAGTTGGCCACACCCAGCCAATAACATGACCACCAAGCCACGTCCACCCAGTCACATGACCACCAAGCCATGCCCACCAACTAAGCCACGCTCACAGAACCGGTTGTTAAAAAATTTGAATCCCACCCCTGTGTTAAACATTTCTGCACTATAGGCACTCTCTTCATCTTCTTGTCAGACTTAATTTATGGATTTATCATAGCCAGCCTTATATTAAGTAGTCCCTTACTACACCTTCTTAATTCCAAGACATTGCTTTGAGGACAAAGCATTTAGCAGGTTTGATCTTTAAAGTAACTTCCTGCCTTCAGATGTTGTGGAGGGAGTGTACCATTTGCAGTGTTAAAAAAAATGTAGGATTAATTTCCCAAGTAATCTTGTTCTTTGTCCTAAGGGATTGGAGTGTTGAAAGCACCAGGAGAATACTAAGATCAAAAAAACTGCTTTGTGTTTGCTACAGGGAGGTCCTAAGCAGATTCAAACAGTGCATGCTGTTTATACTACTCAGTTTTATCTTAATAAAACATATAAACGCAGCCAGTGTACTGCAATACTTTATAGTTTTATTATATTTTTAATCGAATCCCATGCTGGGGTAGCTATTGCAATTACCTAGGGTCAAAATAGCTATTTACACCATATCTGATTAATGTCTTATATGATGGAATTCACAGTTTTGAAGATAGTGACAATTTAGCAGTCTAATTCAATCAAGAAGGAATTTATACTCCAGTGCACCAGGTAGAGAAGTAGGTGGATAAGCAGAAGACAAACAAATAGACAAGCACATATATTCTTTACATACAGAAAAAACTTTGCCCAAGCATGGGGTGGTGTTTTTTTTTTTTTTTTTGGTAATGTTACCTTCTCTATTACAGATATTTGCTGAAGCAATCATTTATTGATGGCAACAGACTGAGCATCTTTGGCAAGGTAATTTTATTAAATGAATAAGATGTTGCAACCTGTCAATAGAATGCTGTACATTTTTGAAGCTTTTACCATTTAGTTATTTAATTAGCTTCAACTAATTGTAGGAAAAATAATTTTGGTGATACTCTGCTTTTACATTCAAGTTTTCTTAAATGAGTCTGATTATTTGGATTAATTTAGTCTGCTCATGTGAATTTGGCACAAAATCTACTTGAGAATCCTGGTTCAAAATATCAAGAAATAAATACGAGACAGAGTTGGAAAGTGTTATTTTGGTTTTGGCTATCTTAGCAGATTTTTTGACTAATAACCATGGTGTACTTTAAAAGTGTCTTTATGTTGTTGCTGTGTGCTGTAAAGGTCAGATTCTGAAAAAAAAACTGTTTTTAGAAAGTAAAGGAGTTTCTGGAAGAAGAAGTGACAGACTGAACACAGCTCTTCAAAAAAGTGGAGCCAATGAACACAACCATCTCTTTGAAACTCTCCAGACAAAAAGAGGATATTGGATTATCCATAAGTGCTCCTCATGAGAAGCTTCCAAGATAGTGGTTTCCAGTATGTTTTGAGCTTGAGAAACAAGGAAATAGCAATCTTGCTCAAACCATGATTGGTGTCTTTAAAAAGACACTATGTTCACATACTTCCTTTTCTAATCACATTCATAAATTGCTTATTATCTCCTTTTCAGCTTTTAGAAATCTTTGGATCAACAAATCTGAAGGTGTAAGTCTGCCTTTAGCCCTTAATGAAAGAACATTTTAACATACAAACCTTTTAAAAAATAATAAACAGCAAAGGTTGATTAAAACTTCAATTTTTGAAATTTTTGAATTTAAGATTTTGGAATGAATTATAAAGAATCTTTCCCATGGGAAAATGATTTTGTTTTGATGTAAAAAAACCACTAAAAGAAACTAATTATTTCAATTTCAAGAAGAGAACACATAAATTTGACTAACAGTTATATAATGGTGCAAAATATTCCAAAACTGGAAATATTGAAGGATATTTTTTGAAAAAATTGAATCAGAAAGTAATGTTAACAATGTCAACAATGATATCTGCCTCTATGGATAGACAGTGTCTAAAAGATGAAGTGGAAGAGGAACAAGGTTTATCTGAAAGACAGCATTCAAAGTGGACTTTAAAAAGATACAATGAGTACAAGAATTACAATGGAAAAGATGCTAAACTGGACAAAAAAATGAAACTGACTTAAGTTTTAATAATTAAAAAGGTTATACAAACAACCAGATAGTAGCCTGGATAATTTTTCTATGTTGGACTTATATAAAAAAAAATAACTAAAGCTTTAAACAGTCTCAAGAGAAGGGACAAAAAAGAAAGAAAAGAAATCAGATTCTAGGACATTATTTTGACAGACTAAAGATCAACATTGTTATAAGTAAAAGGAAGAAAATTGAAGTTAGTTTATTTGATCAAGGTTAAAATAAATATGATATTATATCTGGTAACCCTTAATGAACTTTTGCTGACACCACAACTAAAATAACTATGGTTAATGGATTTGTTTATAAAGTATTTAAGAGATAAGTTATGGGAAGAAAAGATCATTTGTTGTAAGATCAAGGATGTGAAAAGTTTATACTTGTGATGAAGGTTGGGGCAGTTTGGGAAATTTAGGGTCATTGAATTCAGTCATGTCAGAATTGAATTTCATCTGGCAAATCTTGAAAGAAGAATGAATTGCCTAGACTGAAACAAGAAAAGTACAGTCAAAATAAATATCACATGAGAAAATTTCCAGATTTGTGAAAAAAGATCTTAATGGTTTTATGAATGACCTCTGTTCAGTGACCTGTATCCTGGAAATTAAAGTGAATTTCCTAGGTATTTTTCTCAATAAAATTCCATAACCATAAAATGGGAGATTAAGGAGGTACCTTGGGAATAATCCAGTTCAACTCCCTGTCCGGTGTGATAATTTGGTAGTGCACCATTTCAAAAAGAGGGCCATCCCATTTTTGTATAAACATTTACAGTAAGAGAATGTATCATCTCCCAAGTCCATCTGTTTTAGTCAGAGGTTCAGCAGGTTCTGACCAGTTCTGGAGAACCTGTAGCGGAAATTTTGAATAGTTCGGAGAACCGGCAAATATCACCTCTGACTGGAGATCCTTCCCCTGCCACGCCCACCAAGCCATGCCCACAGAACCAGTAGTAAAAAAAATTGAATCCCACCATTGGTTCTAGTATTGAGTAGTTTGTAGCATGTACAAAGTTTCCAGAGGTTCCACTCTGTTTCTTTGTAATTTATTAAATTGTTTCTTCTATTGTCTTTTGAAATTGCTCTGAATAATTCTGTCCTACTTTGTACATATTAAAAGATTACTATCATGTCTTCTTGCAGGCTTTTTCTCCAGGCCTTTCCTCTTTGTTTTCTTTTAATTCCCTTTAAGCCCTTTATCCTGCTGATTGTTCCACCTTGAACATGGTCCAGTTTGTCAATGTCATTCTTAAAATGTAATGCCCTGAACTGCATGCAGTGTTTTAGTTGTGACCTTCCTAATGCAGGTTAGAAAGAAATCACAACTTCTTTTGATAGCAATATTGTACTACTACTCTTGGTGAAACCTAGAATTGACTTAGTGTTTTGTTTTGTCTGGAAGGTTTCATTCAAGCTATGATTCACCAACATATATAAATCATTTTACATGAATTTCTCTTTAAACTTTAAACTTTAAACTCTCCTAAACTTATACTCTTGATTCTTTTTTTCTTATGTAGAAATTTTCATTTTATATGTTTCTTTCTAGTTTCTACCTATTCTTCTCAACTTTCAAAATCCCATTCCATCTTGACAATGTACTGTAAGTTGGTATCTCTTACCAACCATACAGAGCCAAGAGCAAAACCTTGATTAATGCCATTCAACACTACTTTCCAGATTAATATGCAATTTAGCCCCTGCAAAGACCAGATCGCTTTGGTCCTCCCAGTTCTGGGGATTTTCCATTCAGCTCTGAATAGGGTCACATTACCTTACTTGCAACTTGTGTGCAAGCAGGTGAAAGTTATGTACCAGAAGGCCTTTACACAGGTTGAGCTAGTGTACCAGTTGTGCCCATTCCTGGATCAAGAAGCTTTCCCCTGTGGTCACTCATGTTATGATCATGTTGTGATTAGATTATTATAACAGGCTGGTTAAGAATACAGCAGCATGAGCAATGATAAGCAACCCTCATTAGACCCATGTAATACCTCTGCTATGAAATTGTATTAGTTTCTAGTTGGCTTCTGATGCAATTCAAAATGCTGGTTATAACCTATAAAGCCCTACATGGCATAGGGTTTAGTTACCATCTTTTTCCTATGGTGTTTGCATCTTCCTGATCCTATCAGTTAAATAGCACTATTGAAATGAACATCACTTTTGTGGCACCTGTCCAGAAACCTGTACTAAACTTTCCTCAACTTGCCTACCTCCAAGCAATCTCTGAAAAATTGGTTGTGTTCCCAGGCCTAAATGGGTTGAGAAGGCTCCCTTTAATGGTGGATACAGTGGAGTTAAGTTGTGTGTTTCCCATGGGGTTTCCCACCCCATGTCTATTACAGGTAATCATTGGGCTACAACCATTCATTAACAACAGTATTTTCCAGATTCAATTGCCATTTAAACTGATAATTCCTTGTAGGCTTTGTTTTGTGTTGTTTTATATTTTATTGTGTCCTTAGGCTATGATTTCTACCCAGATTCATATGCATGTCATACAGCCAGATATATCATAAATAAGTGAATACAAACAAAATATTTCAGCCAAATTTTGCTGACAATGCTTACAAGTATTAAAAACACACAGAAGCCACAATATATAACTCCTGGTTCCCAGCGTAGATTCAAAGGGCAAATGCAATTTGGACTGTATACATATGCCTAGGCAGCACTTCTCAGGGTTATTTTAACACTGCTACACCTTTTCCCAGGTTCAGCCACAAACTATTGTTAGGATTGAGGTGCTTAAGGGCTCCCACAGGGCTTCTATGTGTACTTGTGTGCACCCAGAACCACACTTTTATAGCCCCAATACAGAAGATTTGTGCAATTACATTTGCCTTGATATTCTTGTACCAAATTAATGGCTTGGAAAAATGTAGCAGTAGTTTGCTATTAAATGTCCTATTAAATTCATATTTTACATGCATAGTCACTTACAGTCCAATGTGCTCTAAGTAACCCCCTTTTTCTACCATCTGTGCATGATATCCTTAGTTAGTCTCTCATTTGTTGTATTCTGTTGCCTCTGGCAGAAATAGATGAGCCAGACAAATGGTTTCACCTGTAGCAAAAATATTTTTACTGCCATGTCAATGTATCTCAGTTTCTCAACCTTCACCGCCAAGTTTTCAGATGCTGATCTTTGCTTCTTTCAGTCATAAGAGGGAGAAAAATTTGAACTTATCTACTCTTTATGTCCTTCTTATTTACAACTCATATAATGAATGCAACCCTGTTCTTGTTCCTTCTTCACCTCCCACCTGTTGTCAGCCCCTCTGCCCAACCCAGACACAAAGGAGGTAATACCATTCAGTTTTAAAAAAAAAAAAATTAATTCCAATATTCAGCAGTAACTTTCAGTTATTATCAATGGTTTGGAGTACATTTCCAAATGTGTGACAATTTCAATTAAGAAATACCTTAGTATTGAATATATTCTTTACAGTATATATTCAACACTAAGAATCATTGCTGTTCCTTGGGAAAATTCCAAAATCCATAGGAAAGTAATACTTTTCTAAGATCAACATGATACAAAACAGAATACAAGCTTTTGTTCAAAACTCTTCATCGGGGAAGATGAAGGTTCAGTAGACATGTATTGCAGCTGTCTTTAATGTATCAGTAGAAATAATCTTTTTAAACAGTTGGCCATGACTCTGTATTATACAGAAGCAGATACATATATAAAATAACTGTATTAGAAATGTGACCTAAATAAAATAGTTAGAATCATAGATGTTCATAGTAATTTAATACATTTTTCTCATTTGCTAATCGCTGCTCTAAAATGCACTAAATATTTAACTGAATTTAATTTATTTGAATATTTATTTGAGTAACTTAGAGTGAGGAAGGAAGAATTGCTTTTTCAGTGAGATGAGCAGAATATAAATTTAAATGAATAAATAAACAAATAAAAACAGTTCTCCAATTCCATCTCGCACAATTACTGATACAACTACTATTCTTTTTAGCAAGAATGGAAGAAGAAAAAAGATGGCATCTGTTTTTTGAAAAACCTACTTCTGGAATAGCCATATCAATTTTAAAATGTCATTTATAATTTTTTATAATGTATTCATATTAATAAATTTATTGTAAATATAAAAAATATTAAATCTGTTCCATGCTTATATTTAACTGAACATCTGTAGTTGAAAATCTACAAGACATGAAAGTATACATTAGATAAAATATTCAGCTGTGAATTAATATATAAAATATACAGTGTTCAGTATTTTACAAAACATTAATTATTTAAAAGAAAAGAGAATACATTTTACATTTTTAGACAGATACTAGAGTTGGCAGACTTGATGTTTATTTTATATTTATATATCTGATTATCATAACTGATTTGTTAATGAAAAACTAATGATTTACTTTCTTGAAATCCCACTGACTGTTCAGAAACATTTATTTATAGCAATCTTGGAACTTTCTGTGTTTACACCAATATATATAATTGTATTATTTGTCTGAGAATGGTGTAAGTAAGTAAAAAGGATCTATAACACAGGTGTCAAACTTGCCATGTCACATTGCCATCACATGATGTTTCAAGGTGTTTTCCCTTTGCAGAGCTGGGATGGATGTGGCCCAGCGGTGGGATTCAAATTTTTTTACTACTGGTTCTGTGGGTGTGTCTTGGTGGGCATGGCAGGGGAAGAATACTGTAAAATCTCCAGTCAGAGGTGGAATTTGCCGGTTCTCCGAACTACTCCAAATTTCCGCTCCCAGTTCTCCAGAACTTGTCAGAACCTGCTGAATAGCACCTCTGGTGTGGCTTGCACCTGATGCACCAGTTTTACACTCCTGATCTATAGTTTTTAAGTATATGCTCATTTTCTACAAGTATGATTTTAACAAACAGAAGAGCATTCCCATATGTGTTTGAGCTGCAACCTTCTCTCAGTCTGAAGCGTTCCGAGTCACACACACAATGTTTCTTCCCCTTGTTAAATTGATTGTCCTAGGTTGGATTAAGCTCATCCTGCTCTGAATATCCATTAGCAACCCAATAGCATCATAGTTCTCTGAATCAAAAACAAGAGGCATGTGATTATTGAATCAGTAGCACTCTCATATCTGTGGTGATATATTAATACTGCGAAGGAGCAAAACAAAAGTGAGGTCAATACTTTTTCAATTGATTTTTTTTTTCATTTCCACTTTCTGGGTTTCTTCCTTCCTGCCCAGTAGACTGCTGAAGGAAAGAATTTATTTTGTTCACTGGTACAAAGTTTTAGAATTAAACTCAGAGCTGTATGGCCACTTCTGATTGCATAAGATAAATAAACATGATTGATTAACATCAGCTTTGTAGTACTCTACATGAATGAATATGATTAAAGAGCTACAGTAATTCATCTTGTGTATGTTTAATAATGGCATACAAGCATTTCAGTAAAATACGGGATATATTATTGGACCTTCTTCAAACTGTATGCTGAAGCAAAGCATCCTCTGTCATATTTTGAAAAAAAATAAATAACTTGATTTGTGCCTACAGAAGGATAAGACAAATCATAGAAATAAATATAAAAGTGGGGACATGGATAAGAAAGAATAGTCTCATCAGGGCAATAATGAGCACATTATAACTCACATCAGTTGTTTCCTAGGGTTATGGAGGTTACCTTGCATCAATGATTCTGAAGTCCAACGAAAAACTTTTCAAGTGTGGAGCTGTGATTGCACCAATTACAGACATGCGACTGTATGGTGAGTGGGTTGTATCATTCAGTTTATTTCACAGGTAGCTCGTTTTCCCTTTCTTTACTGCAGCTGAGACATTATATAATATTAGGAATGCAGGCAGTTCGCTCAGAAGGTGCCTGCTTAAAAAAAAAAAGCAGCACAATCAGGTTTAGTATATATAAATAAATCTGCATTTAAAACAGTGTGTGTGTGTGTGCCCTTAGTGCTTTTCCACTTTTCCATATCACATAGCGATGGCTGCCCCATAACAGAACCCCCAGAAACAGAAGTAATCAAAACCTCTGCATGTTGCTTCCCGCTTTGCCTGCTGATGGGATGGACGTCATTCAGAAGGCTTCAAATGAGATCATGTTGGATGATGAGCCAGGAGATTTTGTTTTCTTCTGAGGATAGTCTGCATCTCCACTGGGTTCCATAGCAAAACTTAAATATTATTGGCCATACCATGTTAATACGCTCTTCCAAAAGTAACTTATTAGTTATTAAGTTTTCCTATTTCCTATGTACAGCATCTGCCTTTTCAGAAAGATACCTGGGCAATCCATCTAAGGAAGAAAACGCTTACCAAGTGAGTAAGAGATGCTATGGTTCTGGATGGGGTGCTGGAGGTATTTGAAATGCAAATCAATCACAAGATGTACGTGTTTTCTCCTTTCCAAAAGGCATCCAGCGTATTTCACAATATTCATGGCTTTAAGGAAGGAAATTTATTAATCACCCATGGGACAGCGGATAGTGAGTATTTATACAAAAGCACTTTCCTAGATGCTGTTTGTCTTCTGCAGAAGTTCAGGGAAGGATAAGCATGAAGCACATTTGTGAGCATATGGGAGCTTTATAATAATTGGTTTTGTCTACCCTTAGAGATCCATTGTGATATTTCATTCATACTTTCCTGCCCAAACAGGTGACACTACTCTTTTGTAGTGTCCAATTGTAGGGACCAATTTGTTCAAACTTTGTGAAATGTAGAGCCTTTGTTGGAAAGCAACATGAATTAATAATAAATTTAATCATCACTTAAATTATTTCTGTTCTGCCACTGGCAAATTGTGTAAGGTAGAACAAAAGTATACAATTTGTAGTACCAATTTGACCTTCTTCATACATTTATAGCTAGATTACTGAAATTTCCTAATTAAGATAGGCTATGTTTTTTTCATGGCTTCCATTCAGCCCTGTGAGTCTGTCTGCAAAATAAATCTTTGCACCGCACCTCTATGTTACTATTTCTTCTCTTTGCTCTTTTCCTTTGGGCTGCCTACCTTTGTATTCATATTCGTTATCTTTTGCAGCTTGTATGCCCATTACAGGCCTGCTTCACAGAGCTATGGAAAGATTGAGCTTTTCATATCTGACACAGGAATTCTATGGGAGGGAGTCATCAAAGGATCATTGTCTCCCACTTCTATATGTTTTCTCTGTATTCAATGCTTCAGGCATTCTTTCTTCTTACATTAGGGGAGATTGCAATAGAAATGCAGTATGTGAAATGGATGAAGTTTAATGATTAGTGTAAGAAATATAAATAATATACAAATGAGTAAGATTCTTCCTGGGCATTTGATGAGGCTACCTGGCTGTAGCTTTGAAGTGAGCTTTTCTGCATTTCTGCATACTAGGTTACATATTTTTTCTTTGTGACCAATGTGGCTGCCTTACCAGGCAGCACTGCCTAAAGTAAACAAGTGCTTAGGCATTCCAGGCAGGAGAGTTGAAAAGTGCACAATACATTTGGAAACTGTTGGATCATTGTAGAAAATAGCAGCCTATCCAGAGTTTTTTCATTTATAGAAGTCCATAGTTATGAAACAAAACAAAAATTCACAATATTTTTCCCCTAATACCATAGAGGATAGATAATAAAAATATATCCAGTGCATTTTACCAAGAAAATTTTCACAAGAATATTTTAGTTTCTTAAACTACTTCCCTAAGATGGAAATTGGAAATTACAAATTAAAGATGAAGGAAGGAAGTGAGGGAGGGAGGGAGGCTTTGATTCTTAATTTTCTAAATTCATCATTTTTCATGCTAAATAGATGCTTTCTTTACCATTCAGCTGTAGCTGTCTCTGAACTTTCAGCATACAAGAAGTATTTCAGTTTTACTAAAATATATTACCTGACATTCAGATTAAATGTTAAGCAAAACTGTGGATTATAACAATAGGCACTTTCCATTATTACAACTAACTTCAGGAATCAAAGAACCTTGTCACCCCATGAAAAGTAAAAGGGACAGTTTTTTAATCTCCATATTTTCAGCAACAGCATCACCAGCTTGTGTTTTGGAGATGAGAGAAGATAATGAGGCAGTAGGGGAAAACGGGCCCAGGAAAATGTTTGATATTTCTGCCTGTGTAAAGACTGAGATCTTATCCTGCTCAAACTCTTCTGTTGTCCTTCTTGGTCAGACTTGAAGATTCATCCCCACCTTGCTTCCAACCACCAAGACTTCCCCTTTCTGTGATCAATTAGATGTAAAGGAGTTAAAATAATTGGTGTAGGTGTATTGCCTCTTATTCATTCCTGTGTGACAATTTTGCAATTTTGCATTTTATGTTTCTGTATGCTTCTAACAAGTAGCTAAAAACCTCTTCAAACAAAACTAGACAGTTCTGGGAATGTATTAATTAAACTTGGGAATGTATTAATCAAACCAAAGTTCATTTGATCAAAATCATATTTAAAAATATACACTTAAAGAAAAATAAAATCAATTTATCTGAAGTGGGCTATTAAATGCAGTTTCTGCCTTCCTCTATATCAGGCATGTCCAATCTGTGACACCTGGGCTGCATGCAGCCCTAGACAGCTAGTAATGTTCAGGTCCACATGACAATACAAATATTAAAAATAAATGCATATGTGGCCCAAGTCATTTGACACCATCCAGGCAAGTCAAAAGACTGGATCATTACTCTCTGTATCATTGTAAAATACCTGTTTACAATGTTTCCAAAATAACATTTTAGAAGGTGGTAGAAAAACTGAAAACGGTATAAAAAAAGGAAAAGTTAGTTTAAAAATTAGGTTATACTTCAGAATTCAGAACCAACTTATCTTTGTTATAATTGCATATGCCAGCACTTACACATTCAAAAATGTTTTGAACCTTGCCAATATTTGAGACATAATACCTCTTATACAATATTCTTCAGAATGTTTTATACACATGATATTCTTCAGAATGTTTTATACACACAATAGCAATATGGTTGAAGTACAGCTATCTTACTTGCAGTTTGAATAGGCATGCCATATAAATACAGTACATACCTGGGAATAAGTTCTGTTGAATTCAGAAGGTTTTCATTCACAACAGATATGGACAGGATTGCATTGAAGATTGTTTAAAGTACCTCACAAATCCATCAACTGAGTTTTTCAGTCAACTAAACTCCCCAAAGAGATACACAATATAAATGAGGATGAGATGTACAGTACTTATAGTCACTCTGCTGTACTTTTCTTATAAAATAAAAACTGTAAAATTTCTAGGAAAGAGTATGATATTATACTTAACAAACAGAAAAACATTTTCACTAACATCTTGACAATGTTGAGCTAATTTGCAGAAACTGTTTGATATTAATAATGCCTTTCACTAACACTTGGATGTTGTTGTCTCACAGCTAAAGTCCATTTTCAGCACTCAGCAGAATTAATTAAACATCTAATAAAAGCCGGAGTGAATTATACTATGCAGGTATGTAATATTTAGGAATGTCATAACTTATGCATCTTTTTAGGTTTAGAATATTTCTTATGCTCTTTGTTGCGTGTATTTAAAATACATCTTTGTCCAGAAAGCCTGGCTGTGTGACTATATATTCCTAACTATAATTTAAATATCTTTGAGAATTATTTTACTCAAATTAGACCCAATAAAAGAGAAAGAAAAAAAATCAATAATTTAAGCAATAGTAAGACCAGAATATAAATTATAAAATGTATATTTAGTTTTTACCAGTTTTTACCACAATTAACACTGAAATAATCTTATACCATACTTTTTAAACTTGAAATATTTGCCTTCATAGCATTCTATATATTTTTCATCAAAATATTTTCCAAGACAAATCTGAGATATGAACAGAATATAATGAGAAATGTCTATTGTACTAATGGACTTCTGCTTATGATGATAGATTAGTAAATAGAGGCAGAAATGTTAAACCGAACAGTGAAAGCAATGTATAGTAGTAGTCTATTGCCTGAAAAACCTCTACATTTGCCACAGATCCAGCAGTAGAATTGTACACAGATTTGGTAAAAATCAGAGTTTCCTGAAATTAAATTGTTTTTGAGCTGGAGACCCATTGCTGTTTGAAAATTGTAATTATTTGGCATCCTGCTTTTAATATTTAGAGGCACAATGATATTTTTCCATGGATTACAATGTATTTCCCTTAAATCTTGAAAATTTAAATAAAGAATGCCATTTTAAACAAAAACATTTAAAAAATTAAATGCTAGAAGTGTTTTGTGCAGGCTGTAAAAAGATGGTTTAAATCAGACCTGGGCATATTACAGGCCCCAGGCCACATCCAACCCTTTGGCTATCCCTGTTCAATTCATATGAGATCAATTGGAATTTAGAAATCAAGCGTAAGTGTGCCATGGGGGTGGGAGAAGAAGCTAAGTTGGGTCCAGTTCCGCACAGTCACCATATGCTCCTTCATTTGACTAATGGCCATGGAAAGGTGAGGAGAGAAATCATTTTCTGCATCTACAAAGCACTCATACCTTACCTGGAGCAGCTGAAGAGTACATGAGATGAGTTTGAGGACATCAATTCAGATACATTGGTTTGGCCCTTCATAATAGTCCCATTTCTCACATAGCCCCTTGGGAAGATTAAACCCCTGGTTTAAATGATAAAATAAATATACTTCAGTTTTGAAATTTAGATGTTTTCAATGAAACCACAATAATTGTCGAGGCATTCATTTTATGTTGATACAAATGAATTTGAAAACTTGTCAACTGGTTTTTTAAAATCTATTTATTTCTACTTTTCCTATCCTAGATCTATCCAGATGAAGGTCATTACATTACATCAGAGAAGAGCAAATATCACCTTTATAGCACAATTCTCAACTTTTTTAGTGCTTGTTTAAAGGAAGAAATACCCATTTTACCACAGGAAGTAGAAGATGATGAATAAGAAATGAAGGATATGACTTGTTTGAGGATTGCTGACTGTAAAAAACAGATTCTTTGGAGCCTGAAGGCAGCCAAAGTTTATAGCAGCGGAGCAGCACATTTTGTGACAATGGGCTAAAAAACCTGGGATTTGAAAACACAAATCCATGTGTGATGAAGGAACAAAATTTATACCTTTGCGGAAGGCCAAAGGTTGGATGCAGTTTTCTGAAAGATATTAATTTTGCATAAGAGTAGAGTTAGTGCATGTTGATTTTGTTACAATTCACTGTTTGTTCAGTATGTAGTTGCTCTGTTTTATTTAGTATGCACATAACTTTTTGATTTCAGGATAATGCACACTTTCATAGGCCGCTAATATTTGGAGAAGGAACCTTCAGTCTAACATTCAACTGTAATTTTAGATTGAATGCATTTTTTCACTGTTAAGCATCAAAATATTGGGGGGAAATGCATTTTAGTTGACCGAAAGACAAATCAGATGAGTAGACTTTAATTATAAATGTCAAGCATTTATACCAACTAAATTAGTAAGCAAAACTGCAGTAGTATATGCCTGGACTTTATATATATACACAAGTCTCCTTCCACAACGGTAATAACAACAAAAAGCGATGTCCACTGTAATAATTTTTTTCAGGCTATAATTGCACCTATGTGTCAATTGACATCAACAACTAAAATAATTCCCCAGTTAAAAGTTGCATATTTTGAGTTACTAAGAAATGTTTTGGTTGTGCTTTTTCTCGTATTGTTTGCAGTATTTTGCTGGTTACCCTCTGATTTTAGAGTACGTTACTTTGTCACTTGTAAATTAGATACATGAATATTAAATTATAGTTTCAGATAAAGAAATTTTATTAACAATGTAATGCCATAGAGTAATACTTTGCTGAGCTATTTTGTAAACCTGTTTTTTTTCCCCACTTTCTTCATACTGGTTGGGATTTCATTTTGAACTTCAGTGGTAGCGTATTGCAGAGCTATCTGTCGGATTTTCTTTTATGCCTCACTGTTCATTGAGTCTGTTACAAGAATGATTTAAACTCAGCTGAATAAGTTGGAAATGATTTGTCTCCATGTAGTTTCAAGAAAGCATCTGATAAATTATTTTTATTTAATTTATTTGTTTAATTTTATTTCATTTAGATGAAAATCCTGTGGTGCATCCATGTATTTATCAAGGTAAATTACACCCTTAAAATGATTCCATGAAATAAACAAACCAGGGAACTTTGGCTATCAAAACATAACTGAGATCAAGTGCTATATTTATTTAATTTTGGAGAACTTTGGGGTATGTATAAGTGGGACAATTCTAATAGTTTAAAGTTCCACTGCTTAATATTTTTTCCAGGGCAGGATTCACTTCAGAAGTCTGATTCATGCAATTTTCAGGGTTTTTCAAAATTTATATTTACCCATTTTTGCCATGCATTGCAACACCTAGATTTAAAGCATACATGCTATTTTTAAAGTAATATTCTTAATGCATAAACATACCATATTTTTTATTTTGAAAATTACTTGCCCGAAATTGTAAATTGCATACACATATTTTTGCTAAGGTGAAAAGTTCATTTTTCTTTATAAATCAAAAGAGATGCTGTTATTCTAGATCAGGGGTGTCAAACTCACGACGTCATGGTGGCATCACATGATGTATTGGGACTTTTTCCCCTTTGCTAAATCAGGCATGGGCATGGCCAGCATGTGACGCATCCAACCCATGGGCTGAAAGTTTGACAGCCCTCTTCTAGATTATATTGCTTGTGAAATATAGTTTATGATATCATATAATTTATATACCTCCAAATATGAGGGTATGTGCACTTAGATTTGCTCACAAACTTTCCTGGGAATCAACATGAAACTGCCTCAAAATCCAATATTTATTAACCCACCAATTACCCATATTTCAGAATAATATAAATTAAATTTTTAAAACAGGTTTTATTCTACAAACTAGTAAAGTTAAAATATACACATGATTAAAAGAGCAGCACAATGACAAAATTTATAAGCATAGTAATAAAATGTGGGAAATTTTAAGAAAAATCTTGAGACTGTTTTAAACAAAAAAAAATCATCTCATCATTTTTTTCAAAAGTCATGACCACAAGCACATATAGTTTTATTTTTGCAATATTTTTGTGTCAAGTATAATATTTTAGCTGAATAGCAATATTAATAGATTCCAAATTTGCCCAACAGTTTAGATAAGGACACATGCTTCTTGAACATATAACTATTTGAGTCTGCTTTAAATACAATAATAATGGAATAAGACCAAGTCCGGTAAATTAACATTTCAAATCTAAAATTACATTTCCCATAGAAGGTTTATTGCAACCAGGGGTGGGTTTTTTTTAAAAAAAAACCTTTTTTTAAAAAAAATAGAAAATTAATTTCAGTCTTCCACTGAATTAGCAGAATAGGCCATTCAAGCATATCATTCCAATGGTCATTTTATTATCTCAAAATTTCAAATTGAAATAAATTTCATAAATAAATTGAAATAAATTTCATTCAGAACTGCTGATAATTCTTTCTAAATGTTGTGAAACTTTAAAAGCAGAAATTCTGATTGGATTCAAATAAGCCTAATAACAAATATTGAAGATGAATACTCTGAAGTCAATCAAACAATAGATCCGAAGTAGTTTTATCACAAAAAGCCACACTTACCTAAAATAGATTTATATGCTATTTTTTAATTTATAGTTATCTTAGCATATAAGCTTCCCATAGATATATGAGTCAAATTTACATCTGTGACTTAATCTTTAATTAATTACAACTATGAAGACTCATCCCCGCACAAACAGGAATCCCAGTATTTGCCAGGACTTCAGTGGGGTCAAATTATAAACCTCAAAAGAAACCCCAAGAAGAGCTGAATTTTAAAGTTTTTCAGTTCAGACAGTTAGCAAAGCTAAGATCAATGCCTCATGATAAGTATGGAAGCATAAAAGTTAAATCCTTAACTGGTAATCTTATTTTCTGCAATGAAAATTTTGCAGGATATTTTTATCAAATAAATGTATTCAATATTTTGTACATTTGTTTAAAATAATGTTATGAAATAATTATGAGGAAATCTGTCAGACTCTAAATCAACCATGGAGTTATATTCATATTAACTGCATGTATCTTACCCAAATACTCTGGGATTTTAGACAACTAAGACTAAAAGTAGACTAACTGAGACTAACTCAGTCTAAAATCTAAATTTAGACTTTTATTTCCATCAAAACAGAGAATAGTTTAAACTTATCAAACTTATCACTTGAAAGGGGTTCCTCAAAATTCATTTTCAAGGTAATGTATTGAGAACATAACTTAATTCTTTACTTTTCCAAATTATTACTGTGATCAAGTAGCATCAAGTCCAATTTACTCCAGTTTATCGAATAACTAGATTGGATTTCAGTCTCACATACTAATGGCATAAGAGAAAACATTTGGTAATTTATGCATGAAACCTCTAATATAATCTTTTATGTCTGAAATCCTTAGTGCACTCTGAGCATGGCTGCAGAAGTTTCATTACCCCACTAGGTAACATCATCAGTGTCTTTTATGTCTGCCTCATGATCATCTCTAATTACAGTGATATTTTTAGAATTTTCTTATGTAGACAAGGAACACTAAACCAAATTAAAGAGAAAAGGAGGTAGAGAAAATTGTTGAGTGTACCTCAACATAAATTTAAAGAAAAAGAAAGTACACCATTAATATCTCTTAGCTGAATGCATTATATCAATCAATAGAGCTTTGCAGAAACCCAAAAGAAATTGTCAAGATTTTCTCTGTGTTCAACTGATCTACAGTTGCTGATTCTTATCTATTTTGAAGAAAACCAAGAACATCAATTATAAATCTGTTATTATCAGAAAACTGACATTGTCTAAATTCAGTCTGAGTAGAGTATGCTATTGTTGGAAAGATGTCCTTGAATTAAGAGACCCAAGCTGCTGTTAAAATCTTGTCTTGCCCTGCCTAAAAATACATTCACAGAAAAGTCAATAAAAATTATAATTAAGCCTTCAAAATAAAGAAATATAGCCTGAATACCAATAATAACAAAGGAGTAGAAAGGGGAGGATAAAGGAAACCCTCTTACTTCTACCAGAGCTTAAAGTAATGAGATATTTTTTGGGTTCCACCTAATAATGAATGATTTCTGAATCCCCTTTGAAAATTTCAGAACAAATGTGTTGGGAAAACCAATGAACTATTGAAGATTCTTCCCTCGAGCAATATTTCTTGTTTTAACATTTTTCGGTGTTGTATTTCCTCAGTAGAATAATAGAAAAACATAACAAGGCATTTTATCCACTTATCTGATTACCACGTAGAGTAGGGCATGTGGAAATGTTCATTATTATGGCAGATCTGAAGAACTTCTTTTACAAAAAGAAGAACCTGGCACTCCCATTATCTACCTTCTTCCAGCATAGTTGATTTTTTTTTGGCTTCCTTCATGAACCTCATGTCACCTAGATTAGTCCAACAAGAATGAGATTTGAAAGGCACTATTTTATTCTGAAAAGTCTTAACTACTTTTAATAAATCACTTATAAATGTGAAGATCCAATGTGAAGATATGAAGATCCAGTGATTTCCCACAATCTTCCAATTGTTTTATTCTGTTCCAATTTTATCCATTCTGCTACTTAACAGAGTCTTTAATAATATCTTTTTTTCAAATCCCCAAAATAGCTGTCAGGATTTTCTCAGCAGCTCCTGACACTTTTGCTTAAGAAGGTGGCAGACCTTTCTTGGGCACAATCCAGGCAAATAATGAACAAACTTTTCACAGTACTCAACAGGTGCCATTATTACCGGTTTCTATTGCTATTGGGACAGATTAAGTCAATTCAATCTTTGGCTGCATGATTGTATTTCCTCATACTTTAGTAATCTGAATACAAACAGCTCACTGTCTGGTTCATATCAGGGATGTGGACTGGGTCAAATACTCAGACAAATATATTT